GAACGACAACGCTGTTGCTCGTACTCGGTAGCAACGGTGGGGACGTATGGGCCACGGAAATGTACCGCGAAGACGACGCACCCAAGACTCTCGGACTCGATTCACGACGTGGCTTGGATTCCAAGTCGCTCCATCGGGATTCGGATGGAGGAAGCGTATGCATGACCTGCCGTGTGCTTGCGTTGCTGGAAGTAGCAATGAGAGTTGCGGAGGGAGGATGTGTTCGACGAAGCCGAGGCTGGACAGGAGATTGCTGCTGCCCTGCTGGCGTCCTTGTCGCAGCGGACTCGCCTTGGTCTTCGTCGTGGGTACTCGACAAGGTATATGTCACGGGCTTCGCTTTACCGCTATCTTTCCACCAGCCACGAGCACCGCGTTTCAAGAACGGCTTCTTTGCCACGTGACGAGTGCTCTGGGTCGTGCCATCGGTGCCGCCAACACTGTGTCGATTGCTGCTCCATTCCCGCTCCAACAAGTCCTCAAAGGTGACTACACCGTTCGCACGTTTAGTTTTGGATGTGAAGCGACAGGGCGAGCATCATTTCATGCGACGTACCATGTGCACCTGGCATCGGCCGGCCGCCGCCTGCCGCCGCCGCCATGGAGGAAGCAATACCGTTAAACTTTATATTCCATGCTCTTTCAAAGGACCATGGATTTTTACCAAATTTTTGCAAAATCGTCATGTCAACGACTCAGTTTTTTTGTTGAAATGTCTGACGTATGGACAACATTCGAACCACCGACACAAAGATTTTCAGTCTTTTGCTCTAACCAACTGAGCTATCGCTGTTAACGAGTCGAGGTCCACCACAGCGCGATGAAGGACTTGAGCAATTTGATAGCAGTGGCACACCCGTCATTCGAGAGTTGTGCGTGCTCCGAAGTTTGAATACGAATCAACGACCATGACAAGGTAGTCCGAATACTGTAAAAACAGGACAATATGAAATATATCAATCCAAAAAATATATTGACGATTTTTGACGTGCCCAACAAACGATGGCGGCCACTCGAAGAGCCGCGGCGGCGGTGGCGGCGACACCTTCGAAACCCACAGACTTGGTGCTTGCGCTATCCCGGACAACGTTTGCTACACACACGGATCTGTTCCGGGCGGAAATTTACACCGTCGGAGGCGAGCTGCCGATTCGAATTTGGATGGAGTCGCGCCGGTCCAAAGGCCAATGGTAAACCTCTTCCATGTGCCATGACGAGGACGGAGTCATGCCGCGCATAGGGAGTGCACCGTGATGAATTTTGACGATCACCGACCAGCCGGGGCATCCTATTCACTCCCACCTACAACTGTTCTCACTGCGCTGATGGTACGAGCCACCAGAGCGCCATCGCAGACGAAGATCTGACCTTGTTCTGTGTAGAGTGTGCTGACATGCACATCCAAACGAAACGACGAAACGTGTTCCGAGAGCTGCGAGCATTACGACATTGACCTGCAGTCGACCCCGCAGCGCCGTTTGTCGCTGTCGCTGTCCATGAAGGCATTCGTTGGCCTTTGCGCCGAGTACACGTTCATCCTGACGCCCATTGCCATGGAAGCGCTGGACATTATTCATGCGAAAGTGCGCGACCTCGAAGACGAAGTCGCCGAACTCCGTGAAGAGAACCGCCGCCTTCGATCGACAAACCATCGCACCACGGGCAAAGCGCTGCCGCTGGACAAACTGGAGATGTCGTCGAGCCATGACACGGACGCATTCGATCACATCGCGTGGACGGTGCCGACGCATCTTCCGTCGTCGTTCATGTCGATCAACAGCGACCACGATGTCCTGACCGCGCATCGCGATGGCCTGTACCACATTCAAGTAAGCGGCAGCTGCACGTCGAGCGGGGGCGTCGTTGTGCTATACCACAACGACAACAAAATCGCAGTGGCGTCTGCAATCAAGCAGGATGATGGCGCGAGCACGAAATACCAGATCCAGCTGTCTGTCATGGTGCAGCTGGCCGTGGACGCAACGATCGAAGTGTGTTTCCTGTCCAAGTCTCCCTGTGGCCACACGCAGTGCGCCCCCTCCGGCACATGCGCCCGATCCAAGATGAACAAGCGCGCCAAGCTTGTTGTGCATGCCGTGAGCCTGCTTTCACAAGTGCCGACGGATGGGAACGTCTCGACGAGGAGCGCTGCGGCGCCGCCGACGAATGGCGGGGATCATGACTCGGACACGGACGTCGACATTGTGACGGTGAAGCGGGAGCGGAAGAGAACGCGGAATTGCTTCAAATAAGATGACATATCAAATCCATGCAACTATTGCAATGTCCGACGTGGCCATGCCAGCCACCGCATCCATCGTTGCCATGTACAGATAGCCACTTGCTCGAATCGTTGCCCATGGGAGCAGCTCAAAGGTACAGCCGACGCGCCCTACAGAGCGTTGTCGCAGCCGCCCAGTCTGCTCCCATTGTCGAGCTCTGGCGGACCAGCTGCCATCCACTGCGACGCGTGCGTCACTGGGCAACCTGTCACGAGTATGTGAGCCATGTAGAAGGTGCGAAGCAGTGCCGTAAGGCGGCGCGCACTCGTTTGCCGACGCCCCTATCCACCTGGCGACAATCTGCCGGCGGGGTTTCGGGGTTTCCAAGTATCAAGTTCAAGAGGGGGGAGGGTTGTGGTTGGCCGACGAGGATGGCAGGACAGGAGCCGAAGCGGAAAGCTGCCGCGATCCTGATCTTGTCCAAGGTCAAGTTTCCGTCGAGCGATGACTTGTACAGAGCCCAGGTCACGGCCACCAACGGGGCGCTGCCCATCACAGTGTGGCTCGAGTCGCTGCGAACCCATCATCAATGGTACGACCCCGACACGTGGCGCATCGTGCAGACTGGTCGTGTGGTAGGGAGTGCGACGTAACATGCTTTGACGAGCATAAACCTTTGACGGCGGGGTATGCTCTGCCGTCCGAGATGATCTTGGCGGCGTTGATGGTATGCTGACCAGCGACGGAGTCGTCATCGTCGCTGACAACACTTCCCCGCAGAGCGTGCTCACAAACTCGTCGAAACGCGCTCGGGGCGACAACGGAGTCGCCGACTCGGAGCACGTCGAAGTGGACCTGAAACCCGCGGCCGCCAGCACAGACCGGTTGTTGCTCCAGTTGGCTTTACAGGCGTTCGTTGGTCTGCGGGCCGAGTACACGTTTGAGATGCTGCCGCGGCGACGGGAGCCATTGGACGCGCTTCGGTCCCACGTCTATGCTGTGCAGGAAGCGGTGGACGAGTTGAAGGCACAAGCGCACGAGTTCACGGAGGAAGTGCTTTCGAACGCCCAAGTTGACTGGCTGTCCGTCGCTACACGCACCACTACACGCACTGGCGCGGCTGTGCAGTGGCCGCTGCACGCCCGCGTTCCCGACCACTGGGTGGGCTTTGTGGACGAAGAGTGCACGACCTTGACGCTGAAGCGCAGTGGTTTGTACCACATTCAAGTGTCGGGACCGTGCTCGTCGTTCGCGAGCGAGCTCGTGCTATCCGTCGACGACGTCCGCGTCGCTGTGGCGCAGGCGATCAAGCAAGATGGCGCTACAGACGACCGCAAGGCCAGAACCCGCCTGCATCTTTCCCACATCCTGTCCCTCGATGCACATGCCCGATTTCGGATACACGTGGCGTCCGGCGCGACGTGCCACCATTCCAAGTGCGCTGCTGCCATGTGCAAAAAGGTCAAATTTGGAGGAGTCGGCGGAGGGCGTGCCGAGCTCTACGTGCATGTCCTTGGTTTCACCGACACTAGCGGCGCCACGGCCACCGATTGTGAATGCTAGCACGCGTCAACAGGACCTCCCAAACAATTCTTACGGTGACCTAGGACGCATGCATCGGGCCAGACACTGCAAAGTCGCGCACATCCACTCAAGCCGTTCTGCCTTGCTTGTGCAAACAACATGCCTCCTCCAAACAATCCATGCAAACACGGGGCACACGACGTTATCCATCCTTCATGCGCCACATGAGTCGACGGGCGGCACATGCCGTCGTCGTTCATCGGACTGCCATCGCTTCCCCGACCTCCATGTCAAACTCACGCGGCGTGGCGTCTGGTGGAGGGCTGTCGCGCCACTCGTTGCGAAAGCTCATCTTGGACGACCCCGTGTCGTTGTAGACTGGAAAGATTTTACTTGCGGCCGCGGGGGTCGCCACGTCGACCCGGCCAAGGGGGGATGCATGGCTCGTGGCCAAACTCGGCATGTGAAAAATCTCGTCCAGCTTCTTGTGAAAACGATCTCTACGTCCCCATGTTCATCCATCCACCGTACGTATGATGCGCGAGTCGTACCGATATGGTTTTGGTGGCAGGGCCGAAATGCCGGCGCCGTCTTTGCGCAGGAGCACCGTCTTGACAAAGCGTTCGACGCGCTTCTCCCACGTCCACGTTTGCAAAATGTCAATCATCCCCATGTAAAAGAAGCCCGGGCCCACAACCACGTCGGCCGCTCGCACCGACGCAATCGATTGCTTGGGTATGGGTCGCTTCCCCGTCGGGTTGCGGCTATGGACGGCCGACGGCAGCTGGACGGGATCCGCTTGGTCAGGAATGATGTTGGTGGCTGTGACGTGGAAGCGGACTTCAATCACGCCCAAGAGCAAACTATAGTCCATGATGCCGTGGTCGCACAAAAAGTCGCTGTCCTTCTTGAGCTGGGCGACAACAAACGGCCCCTGCGCGTCGCTCAGGCGCACCTACCATCCACGCATATCAACGCCACATGGTCGAGATGTCCATTACTTTGGTCGTCAAGTCCATGTCTTTCAGCACCACGTTCGGCTCGTGAAACCCGGCGCGGTTCGGACAACTGTCTCGGTTCCCCGTGCGAAACGTCATATTGCAATACCTAGCGCAGCAGCCATGAGAGAGCCCGCGTCCTCCTTGCAACGTGCTGCACGACGGTATTCAACGATCGAGACACGTCGCACCGGCAAGTACACTCTTGGCCTCGGCGCGCCTTCTCCGCATTCCGATCGATCCACGACCCCTTGATGTCGTACCGATGGTGGACAGCATGATGCTTGTCAAACAAGTTTTCCATCACGACAAAGCACGTTTCCTACGTCGATCGCATGCCCCACGTGATCGTCGATCGACGCCATCGCCGTCGTACCCGACCGTACAACACCATCGAGTACGTGCCGAGGATCCTCGTCAAAAACGTGCCCGGGTTTGCATACACGTACGCCGCGTACTTGTCGACAATCGACCGCAAAAACAAACTCTCGCGCCGCGTCACGCTCTTGACAATGTACGCGCCGTTGGTCGTGAAAAACATAAACGAGCCGCTCGCGCCTTCGCTGACTTTCGGGATGCTGCAGTTGGCAAACGCGTCGATAAAGTCGCGGTCGTCCACGCCAAAGTACTCGCGGACGTGGCAAAACACGTCGGGACGCATGTCGGTAAACTTGCACTCGTGGCACGAAAACAAAGAGTGTTCGTTGTGCGGCGGGTGCACGGTAAAGATCGAAACCTCGGGCAGCTCGAGCGCTTGCCTACACACACCGCGCATGACGCGTGCCCCCGCATCGTCCTGGCAACCGACCGCTTGTTGGCGACCTGGACCGCCTTTGTGATGCCCCGAGTCGTGTAAAATACGAGCTCCTTGAGCAGCGCATAGTTGGTTTGGGCGCGCATGGCGTCGTCGCGGTCTTGAATCGTCTAGGGAAACGGCGGCCCCGTCATGCCCATCATCTCCGTCGGCCACTTCACCCACCCGCTCGCGTCCGTCGTGGCCCGTCGGGCTGCTGTACAAAATCCACAATGCAAACACAACGCTCCCTCGAAACGACAAGAGGAACCCAAATAGTTCGGGAAGGATGCCACCGTCGGGTTTCGTCAGCCAAAACGCCACGTACACGCCCCACAGCAGCAGCCAGTACACAATGTACGCGACGGTCGTGAAAAAGCCTTCGCGGAGGAGCCCGCGGCGATGCTCGAGAGTTGCTTCGATCCCGCTGCGAAACCTACGCCCGACGTCGATTTATTCGCCGTGGGATGGTCGAGCGATGGCGCGGTACCGCTTGGCCGACACAGCACACACGTAAATGTTGGTGCTAAGAAAGCACAGGACTGGCACCGCGATAAAGATCCACACGCCTGCATCAAACACGAAAAAGTGGCCCTGGTCCAGGCCGCTGCTCTTGACCCAGCAAAAGTCGCCGACCGACGTTCCGTAAAACGACGAGCTGGTCAGCATGACACCGCCGCCGAGCAGCCCTACGTGGACGTCCAGAGTCGCGGCGGCGGCGACCGCGGGACGTACCAAGGCCGTGCGAAAACAATTGGTACCGCCCGCGGTTCTTTCGAGGCGACGTGAATGGATCATTTAGCTAGGCAAGGGTGAGCGATCGCCGTCCGTCCACGGCAGAGGTCGTCCCGCCGGTGGACCAACGACGCTGGCAACGTACCAGAGAAAACAGATCGATCGCCATGCAAAACTCCCACGCGGCCGACGTCATGATAAAGTATTCGCGAATGGCCGACACCTACTCACGGCATCAACTACCGCGATCGTCGACGCGCCGCGGCGTACGTATTGGCACGACGTGCCGACTTCCGACCCTTCGTTCCAATTGTTCCACGCGGGTTGGAGCAAAAACGAAAGCGCCAGGAGCAGGTCCATGATGCTATTTCGCGCCATCCATCTTGACCAACGACGACGACGACGACGGGCGGACGTACCTTCGATTGAGCAAGAGGATGTTGGAGTGCCGGCGGCAGCCAGGACTGAGGAGGTACGAGGTCAGCACGACACAAGACATGATTAGCGTGCCAAGGGACCCAAGGAGCACTCCCGACGGCATCTTGACGACTTGACGCGTCTTCGAACGAAGCGCAACTACGCAGATGACGAGCGCGACCGAAAACAGCGCAGTCGAGACCGCCATGACCGTCTTGCCTCCCAGAAGCTTGCCATTGTCGCACAAGAGCAGGTACAATTCTTTCATCCCGCGGCGGCGCGTTTGTCGACCCGGCGCCGACACGAGCTCGCCACTGACGACCTTTCGAGCAGACGAGGCCTTCCTGGCCGGTACGTCGTTCGGGTGGATCACAATGCCGTCTAACGGAGTCTCGGGCTCTGTGTGCGCCAAATACGCAAAGCTACATGAAGACGACGCATTCGTGGCTGTAGACGTCGCAGTTGTCGTGTCGGTCGATCCCGTGTCCATGGTGTCACCAACGGCTGACGTGCCAGAGTTGTCAAGTGCAGAGTGGGCGCCGCTGCTCGTGGTGGTGGACGTAGTGGCAGTTGGTTCGACGTCGCTTCGACTCGCGTCGAACGAATCGTCGAGAACGTCGTTGATGTCGATGAACGACGTGATGGAAGCCGACTTGGCCTCACCACGGCAAGTGCACGAGTCGACCGTCGGCGACACGCTGTCCGTGCCGCACACTTGGCGTTCCATGGCAGCTCCGACGGACACCGCTCGATCGCTGTGGTCCTCGAGATGGTCATCCATGGGGGTCGATCCCTCCATCGATTCCATCGCCTAATTTTACTACGATCCCCCTGGCGGTTACATGTGCAAACGACCAACATTCCGTCCAAGCCGGCGACGCCGCGACATGCCGCCCCTAGACCAAGTCGTCTGCAAAAGAGGGTCGCGTCAAGATAATGCGCGCGTGCCATCTGCAACATGGCGTCCTTGCACAGCCACATACGGCGCTTGTTAGTCTGATATCGGGCCGCTAGTCACGACCGTGTTGGATCTCGACCGTGTTGGATCTCGACCGTGTTGGATCTCGACCGTGTTGGATCTCGACCGTGTTGGATCTCGACCGAGTGCGAGCATCTCTACATGGACCCCACGGCCCTTAGGCGAGCCAATTCCGCCTCTCACACGTGCGATGCCCCTTTTCGTCCCTGCGAAGTCGACAAGCTCGAGCAGCACACACGACTTGGCCACTCCACGACGACGCTGACCTTGGTCACATTCCCGCACATCCGACTTCAAATTCGTCGAGAACAACTCTTATCCGGAAAAAGATTTGAAAGTCGAGATGATCGTGTCCGCCGCCGTGGGGGCGGCGGTCGTTCTGTCGTCCTGTGCTGAAGCGGCATCGTCCAAGCGGCTGCTGGTGCATCTTCATGATAGTGGATTGCGTGCGCTATACGAAGATCTCACGGATCGGACTCGTGATGGCGTTCACGCGTACTTGCAAGGACGGTTTGCCAGTGCCCAAGCGTCGTTTGTCGACCAGCTGAGCGCTGCCGCGACCATCGCCAACGTGTCCATGCCACAGCTCATCCCGTTATGGATTCAAAACACGGTTGTCCTGGATAACGTGCACGAGGACCTCGAACTGTGTCTCAGTCAACTCGATGGAGTTGCCAACGTTGTCGAGGATGGTATCGTACACCTTCCCTCGTCGTCCTTCCACCATCTCGACAAGCACGAAGGCGAGTTTGAAGCGTCATCCGTGCAGGACAACGTCAAGGACCTCCACGCCGACGAGGTAGCTTCCTTTGTCTCCCAGCTTCACACTCGTCGCCCGTCGGTTGAACTTGCTGTCTAGGCATGGGGCAAAGGGTGGTCTGGCGCTGGCATCGTCATTGCCAGTATCGACTCGGGGGTGCGTTACTCGCACAGTGCCTTGCGTGCTTCGTACCGAGGTTTGTCGGGACGCTCCACTTGTCGACTGAGGCATGGTGTAGGCACGCACGGGGTGGATGGATCCGTCAATCACGACTACGCGTTCTGGATTCCGTCGTCCCAGAATGCAACTCTCGTGCCGGACAACGCCGACGAGGTGGGGCATGGCACTCACACGATGGGCACCGCCGTGGGCAGCAGCGGCATTGGGATCGCTCCAAACGCCACGTGGATCGCCGCGCGTCCGTTCAACTGGGACGGAAGTGCGGCCCAAAGCGACATCTTGCTTGCTGGGCAATGGGTAAACCTCTCACATCTCCGATTTTGAGTGGCGTTTTCGATCGGATCGAACTCAAAAAAATGCATGCCACGCATCAGGTCATGTGCCCGACCAAGTGGCAAGGCACAACTCCCAACTGCACACTCGGCGCCGACATTGTGTCCAACTCGTTTGGCGCCGACAGCTCCGTGCATTGGATGGATCACGTTGTCCGAGCCTGGCGCCGCGCCAACATGCTTCCCGTACGTTCGACTTGGCATGTTTGGCTGGTTGGGATCGATGGCGCGAGGGGATCATGTGCTTGGTGGTGCTGACGGCGCCAACGCACACCCTATCCATGGCTACGATGAAGCCGACACGGTGCTGAACGCCTTGCGCTCGTAGGTGTTTGCCAGCGGCAACGTAAACGGATTCCAGTGCGGGTCGGTCATGTGCCCTGGTTGTCTCCGCGATGCGGTCGCTGTCGGCGCTTTAGTTGGCAGCAAGACGTTGTGGGGAGGCAGTGGAAAAGGTTGGATTCGGTGGCTGATTTTTTCCATGCCACGTCATCGTTGACGGTGGCATGCGTAGGTCCAAGTCCCGCAGGCGGCGCGATCAAGCCCGATTTTGTCGCCCCTGGCGTCGCGATCCGATCCGCGTCGAGCCTGGGCGACGCCAAGTACATGCGGCTCACGGGCACGTCGATGGCAACGCCGCATGTGTCGGGGGCCGCCGCCATCGTTTGGCAAGCGTTCGTCGAGATGCCACACATTAGTGCATGATGCACCGGTTTAAACCTCGTGTAGGTGCAGAGCAGCAGCGAGCGACAACAGCGGCGCGACGAAGTGCAGTGTGGACGTTGTTGCGGCCCGCCTTGAACGCACAGCAACCACACAATCGCTGCACAAACCGGTTTTGGTGCCGGCGACATGCGGCGGCACACCGTACAACACGTTTCCCAACAACATTTATGGCTTTGGCCTCCCGAACACGGTCAAAGCAGCCGCTGCACCGTCCAGCACGGCAAATGCTGCGGAGGAAAACGTCGCGGTCATGTTGGCGAGTGCGTAAGTAGGGGCTAAGTCGACGGTCGCCGTCGATCGCATGTCGCATAACGTGTCGAATATGGATGGCTGGGATTTTCTTGCAGTGCCGCAGGTACTCCATGTAGAACGATGCCGACTTGTCGCACCGCCTCGTTCTTGCAGTCGAGGAGCGTTCGTCACAGTTGCCGTCGTTCAAGCTGGCATTCCAACATACTCGCGTGCGGTGGTGGCACGAGCGCCGAGGGTCGCCGGCGCGTTGCCTCGGCACTTGGCGTCGATGGCCTTTGACAAGCACGGGTTTCCGCCGTCATGGGCATGCATGCGGCGCACCAGTGAGCGTACGACGAGGTGTTGAGGCTGGTGTTTTTTCGTTTCTATTTACATCGCTGTGAAACGGACCGACTTTGCCAACAGGCGGACGACGAGCGATATGGTGTTGGCGCAAGATGAGATCGATGCGTGCCGAGAAGCGTTCCTCGCATTTGATAAAGACAGGTATGAAGAAACATGCTCGCCCGTCGCGCTCCACCGGTGGCGCGTAGAAGCGGCACCATCGATGTGTGGGAGCTTCGCCAAGTTCTCGAAGGTATGCCCGACAAATGTCGCGGTGCTCATGCGGTGTCCAGCCATGGGCCAGCAACCGACCGAGGAGGAGCTGTTTCAAATGATCAGCGAAGTCGATGAAGACATGAGCGGCGCGATCGGTGCCATCGCCTTGATCGCGACCATCCTGGTTGACTGGTGTGTGTGTGTAGATTTTGCCGAGTTTCTCCAAGTCATCGACAACCAAAAGGACCGCGCCGCGCTCTACAACGACGAAAGCGACATGAGTCCGCTTGCCGTGCCTTGGATCCTCTCACGGATTTCTCTGTAGTCGATGCATTCGTCGCGTGCGGCGGCAAGCCAGACAAGTCTGGCGTTGTCCGGCGCGACACCCTCGTCAAGATCATCAAAGTCGACTTTGGGCTCACGATCAACATCGAGGTACGTCGACGTGGCCGTCGCCGCGCGCAATCTCTCTCGACTGCCGGGTAGGACATGATCAACAAGCTCGACGTCGACCAGAGCGGCGAGATCGAGTTTGACGAGTTCAAAGCTATCTTGACGTAGACCGAATCGTGGACGAAACATAAACAACTCGTTGTCTTATGCACAACCAACTCGTTCCAACGAACAGCGCAAGTGCTGGTAGGACATGTGCCGCCGGCCATCGACGTCGTCTTATTTTCGGCTGGCTTTGACCGACGCGATCGGGTGCGGTGCGTCCGGCCTCGCCGAGTACAAATACACCGTGTTCTTGATCGCGACAGCCACTTCGTTCGACGTGGGATGCCATGTTGTCTGAAGGACTTTGGACGTAAAGTCGAGCGAGTCGCTGTCGCCTCCGTTGGCCAGCGTCTTGGAAATCGCATGGTGCGGCGCCGACGACCGCCGGCGACCCGCGGTCGACACCGGGTTCAAGCAATAGTCGCTCCGGCCGTACCGATCGTAAATGTGAAACTCGCTATTGTACGACCCCGTGATAAAGTTATTGCCGTCGCCGCTCACTGCGCACTCAAACTTGTCAAAGATGCAGTCGGTGTCGTAGAGATCGCTCAGCCGCGGCCGCAAGTGCTCGTGGATCTATGCCGCAGCGCCGTCAGCATCGCCCGACGTGCCGCCGACACGCCCACTTACGTGAATCGTCTGCACCGGGCGCGACTCCATGTTGATGTCCCACACCTTGAGCGTCAAGTAGTCGCGCGAGATGATGTACCGGCCGTCGGGCGAAAACTTGATGTCTGAGATCGACGCAATGATCTCCGAGAAGAAGCTGCGCGCCGCCGGGTCCTCTTGGTCTTCAAACACTAGATCATGCATGGAACGATGACGACCGGGCGGTCAACCAACGCCGCCACCGTACGTTTCGAGTGCGCATCGCAGAGCGCCGACGCGCGCATGTCGCCGAGCTTGACAGCGCCGCGGCTCGTGCTGTACATCATGATGTTGCAATGGGACGGATGAAAGTCGGCCGACGTGATGACTTCGGTCAGCTCTTCCATGTTGTTGGGCTTGATGTCGACGATGTCTAGGCACGGCAGATGAGTCCCGTGCCCAGATCGATGATGCGACGTCCCCATCTTCCCAACCTCATCCAAGAACGGGGACTCTAACGATGTGGCACGTACTGAACGACTGGTCGGATACGTTGGTGTGCCACAGGTTGATGCGAAGGTCGTCAGCAGAGAGGAAAGTCTCACCGTCGCTGTTGAGCGCGATCGAGTTGATGTGGTACGTGTGGGCATTCGCAAACACCTTTTTGGTTGTCGCGACGGCGACGGGCGGCGCGCGCGTGAGCACTGGCAGGCGGACCATGTCGCCATACGTGTTGGTCGGGTTGAATTGCTGGACGGTGCGGACTTCGCGATTGTGCAAGCGCCACAGCTTGATCGTTTTGTCGTTGGTCGAGAGCAAGTAGAGCGCGTCGTTGGACGGGCGACACCACCGGATCTGGTTGATCTTTTCTTCGATCTCGAGACTCTTGAGGTAGTCAAACTCGGCTTTGTGGCTCTGGAAGGTCTTGTACGGCGTAAAGCGTCGTTGGTCCGCCGATTGATGCGACTGCATGAACCGACCTGGCTGCACGGAACTGCGTTAGATCCCAATCGGTCGCCGTACACATGCGAGATGAGGACCCACCTGGTGCGAACTAGAGTTCTTGCTGTACACGGCAATCTGCCCACCTTTCGTGCCCGTGGCAATGTAGTCGCCATGCCGATCGTACTCGACAGCCGTGATGACGTCTGCTACCCCACAACCGAGGTGTCAATCGTCGCAACACGTCGTCAAGTCGTGTCGAGCATACTGGCGAAACCCGTACCTTTGTCGCAAAGGCGCTGGGATTCGATCCAGCCACCGCCAGCGATCGAGACAGGGGTCGATCCAAGCTCCGGACGCGAGTGCGACGACCCCGTGCTTCCATAAATCGACGACGGTCGGTGTTCTTGTGGCATGGTCGAGTGCGTAAAAAACCACCGGCAGGGGATCGGACGGTCGTGTGGGGGAGTTTCGAGTGGGGCGTCACAGAATAGCGTTGGTGCGTCGGTACTCTCGGCGGCCGCAGTGGACGCGCGGGTCCGTGTATCTCGCTCGGCCAGATTTGATATGCGATCAAGTTGAGGGTTCCTGCGTTTTCTTTCTGTTTTTCCGTTATCCGACGCCGTTACGCGTTGGTCGCCACGGAATAAAAATGCACCGCGCGATATGCGCACGTGCGTCGTGGCGAATAAAAATATTGTCGAACCGGAAATCGGTTATTTTGGGCATCATATTTGACTGGGATGCCGTGGCCAATCAGACGCCGGGAATAATTAAACCCGCGACGACGGCAGGCGCCCGGTTCGAAATTCCTGCCGACGACGAGGTTGCGCGGGGCTCTCTGGACGGGTCGATGGCGGCACCGTTGGGACGGGTGGGGCTCGCCCATGACGTGGCACCACCACGCCACGCGAGGCCACCGGTCGTACTCGTGCGACAACGCGCGAGCGAGATGGATTGCGTAGGTACAGCACTCCTCTGGCGTGTGGCGAACACTGTCGAAGGTGGGCGACGCGGTGGAGAATGGGCGCTTGGACGAGAGATGAGAGAATTGTGTGTGCGATGGCGATGGCAATCCGTCCAGATGGCTCTTTGTGGACTGCATACCTCGATCCCACACGAATCTCGTCTCCACCGATGGCCCGTCTTGGTCAACGTCCTTGGTGTGAGCGCTAGGGAATATGCATGCCCCGACGTCACACCTCTGCAATTCACAAACCAAACCCACCACGCAGCCATGATCAAGCAAGCCACCGACGATGTCGTCCCGACGAATAAACGAACGTTCATCCGCTGCTGCTGCGAGAATACCGACGTCGGTTGTCACGAGAACTGTGTGCGACGCGAAACGCCAACAACGAGCAGCGAATCCCCGAGAGACGACGTTTTGACTGTGCCTGCCACCATCTTGGTCATCGTGTAGGATCTGCGCAGCGGCGGTGGTTCGTGCGTCCTGCACCTCCATGGTCACTCACGCGGCAACTTGTGGACGAAGCCATCGAGTACAGACGACGGCGCGAGCCACGTGCGAGCTGCTGCACGTCGTTCGATATTTCATGTTTCTACCTCCGCAAAATAAATGCACTTTGCACACTCACTCCTTCGATGCAGTCGTAGTAGTAAACGTTGTAGAGTTGAAATACTATGCATTTTTGTATCGTGTCCCATGCAGTTTGTATGAGATACATATGAAAATTGCTTTGAAAACGAGCAAACAAATTTCGACAAGATGGCGTGATGCCATGCGACGATGACGCGATGGCGCCGCGTGGTGGGAGTTGTATCGACCTCCTACATCGTCTGGGACGCTGTATAGCGTAGGTACGTTCTCGTGTCGCTTGGTTGAATCGAGGTGTGTACGTTGAGTAGACGCTTGCCGTTCCTCGAGACGCGCGGCGCAGGGTGCAATTGCATATCGGTCGCTAATGTACCATCGTAACAAGACCAAATCGATGTCTGGCGCTGCGAGGGATGAAGCGACTCGCCACTTCCATGATATCTCGAGTACGTTGCAT